CATTCAGGGATATATTTTGATGATTGCCCAATGAAAATATAACCATTTAAATAATTATTTCTCATCTTTTTTGAAAATGAAAGACAAATTGATCGACCATATTCAAAAAGCATGCGTAGCTTTTGCGACGTCATCAAAATAAACAGACGCCATGACACCTCGACTTGCTACTGATCTAGCCTTCCCCATTCCCCTACGTTTTCATGCACAACGTCAGGGTATATCGTTTCTGGGGAAATGCATGCTTTATTTTCTTCGAAAGGTCTAATGAGTTCTATTATGTGGGTTTTCTACTTTGAATTGTATAAAATGGCCAGTCGGTTTATTTTGAGGACGTATTGTACAGTTCCCTCATAGGGAATATTTGTTACGGGATAAAGTCTCGTTGGGTGGAAGTTTTGGTTTTTGTAATATCTTTTTCTTGTTTGCATATAGAAAAGCTTTTAATCAGGGCGCATGTGATTATCCGGGAATACATTATAGAATTACTGTCTTGAGAGAGAAGTTTCTTGCAATGACTTTAAGCAGTGGTTGTTGAATTAAACATTTTTTTCCACATTTCTTTTACAAATACGTAAATTGTATTTAATCTAGATTCCTTTTGGTCAAGCAATAATTTCCAATGGCCAAAGGGTTTTGGATCTTACCCCTGATGTTAAGGTTAAATTCCGACATCAGTTAAGCGTTACTAGCAGGAAAAGATTCCCGGCGGCGAAGTATACCAAAGAGAACAATAATTAGAAGAAAGTAACGAGCACGACGATTATACTTGTCGACACTGATATATGCCTATATAAAGGGAGTGCACGGATGTAAGGCTGCGACACTGTGTTCATAACATGGCAACTTGTTTCCCACGTGAAAACTTAGTTGCCAACACAGTTCTACGAAACATGGAAATATATAAAATATTTACTGAAGTAAGGATGATATAAATACAAATGTGTGGACCCTGATCTGAAGTGCCTCGCAGGAACAAACATGGCGAAACTACTTACTTTCAAGGCAAAACTAAAAGAACGCTTTCAGAAACAGACACTAAATCAGCTGAAGGTCCTTTAGAGCCTTCGTAACGGCAGGGAGAACTTGGTCCTTGTATTTCAGAAGCATTGTTTCGTCCACGGTGGAGTTGGGTTGCTTGCAAAAATCTTCACAGTCGTACCTGAAGTGCGCGAGGTAAGCTTGGTCCCTTTTGTACGTATAGGATTTTGCCTCACACTTTCCTGTTGGGGAAGGGGTCGATGTGTTAGATTAGAGCAGGGGGAGGGTGGAGAGGTGAGAGGAGGGGAGGGGATGGTGGAAGGGGAGAGGAGGGAGGGGGTATAAGGAGAAGGGAGGGGAGGGATGGTATAAGGGGAAGGGAGGGGAGGAGGGTTTGTCTCATTTTCCCATTCTTAAAAGGTTACATAAACAAATGAAGTGTTGGAGAGTAAAGTGGAACCGAGTCTTACCATAAGCGCAAGTGAGGACATCGTGAGAAAAAAGACCCGTGGCCAAGTCCATGTCATAAACGGGTTTGGTCTTCCCAGTCGACACGGCCATAGCTTCCAGTGACCTCTTGGTGTGTCGCATCGCCCACAGGTACTCAGGGAGAGAGGCTGCTGAGGGGGAAGGTTCGAGGTTTTTCTGGTGGTAGTACCAGATGAGCTTGTGGGCAGGGTGCTGCTTTCTCTCCTGGCCGGGCGCGACGGGGTGGCTGGTTGGAGGAAAAAAGGAAAAATGAAGATGTGCTTCTATAACTAAATATTAATCTCTCTCTATTTGTCAATGTCTCTCACTCTCTTTCTCTTTCCATCTCCCATCTCTCTCTCTCTCTCCTCTCTCTCTCTCTCTCTCTCTCTCTCTCTCTCTCTCTCTCTCTCTCTCTCTCTCTCTCTCTCTCTCTCTCTCTCTCTCTCTCTCTCTCTCTCTCTCCTTTCTCAGTCAATCCCGCGAACAGATGCATTCCCCACACACCTCTGTAACAGTGACTTTTATGACTAAGACATTTAGTTCTTTCCAGATTGTCTTCAGGCTGAATGTTACAAAATGTATATCGATGCCATAAATGTTAACGATAGGGACACGTGAGCATAAAGTGAAGGATAGAAGCCATCTGATTCAGTGTCTGTGCTGAAATGCAACAAGCCTGATGGAGATGAGAGTGTTATGGAATAATGTATAATTTGGGGTGATAAAAGTGCACAATTGGCCGGGTATCGAGAACACAGGAATAATGGAGTTGTAAACTAAATCATGTATTTCTGATGAAGCTTCGATTGAAAAGAACCGCGTCAAGTGCGTTATGGAAAATATCCTTTTTTAATTTGCCATAGTGAAATGCTCATAGACATGGCTGGTTGGAGAAAAAAAGGAAAAATGAAGATATGCTTCCATAACTAAATATTAATCTCTCTCTCTATTTGTCAATGTTTCTCACTCTCTCTTTCCATCTTCCATCTCTCTCTCTCTCTCTCTCTCTCTCTCTCTCTCTCTCTCTCTCTCTCTCTCTCTCTCTCTC